CCCTATGCTCCAGCTACCCATTCAAACCATTCTGTCTTTGTTTGCTCGAATTAACTTGACCACCGATTTCAGATGTAATTCGCAGAACTTTTAACTTTCAATTAGCCCCCCTTCTCTCCACCCCACATGTAAATTGGTCCCTGCTCCACATGAAAATCTTTGTCTATCGGGCTTCTATGTGCCTCCCACTCTGGCCCCCGTTTACATCATATTCGCGGCTTCTTCTTCATAGACTTCAGATCTATTACTTAATTATCCTTTTTTCCATCCCCCCACACGTTCACTCATTCTCCTGGGCTCTTTGTCTGGCTTGATTTGGAGCTGCTGGTGTGAAGATGGTTCACTTCTTAATCACCGAAACCTTAGGTGCTAGTCTCTTAAACATGTACACGTGGGTTGGTAACCACCCTTGCCAAGCATGTCATCAGCCCCCTCTCACTATAGATACACACACGAAAATGCACACAAAAACATACAAATAGACACCAAGGACCAAATGATATTGTCCTTCCACCTCGGTTTCCACATACAAGAGGGTTTGAAATAGGTCTAGACCTTTAATTTAACACCCGACGTTTATAAGTTTTTAATTCCTTATCCCATGGGTGGATCCAGCCTGATAACTTTTTGAAGCTTATTATAATTTAATTTTATTCGACCCCCATGGTCCTCTTCTTGACGATGTCGCTGCCTATCTGAAGAGAAGATGGGTTTCCATGACTCCCTTAGAAGATCGATGCTGACATAGTTTTCATTTCGTTTAAAAAGGCGGGTGGAAAGAATTCATAAAAGAATGCCAAAGGAGGTTTACTCTGGACTTGTAGTTTGTGAATTGCGCGAAGAAGATCTTGCGATCTTGATCAATTCAGACGAAATTAAGAGATGCCAGAATCGATGTCTCCTCTTGTTGTTGCATACATGTTTAGCTTTCTCCTCTGAATCTGCAAATTTTACCAGACCTTAAACGATATTCTCGTGCATTCTTCCCTCTCCCAATCTTCAGTTCCCTGAATTTCTTTAAAAGACGAGATCCTCGGTCTTCGTTTTCTTGTGTTTTCCCACTACGAGGCCAGCCTTTTCATTGTATTCCAGGCAATCGTGTGGCCGGCAGGGCATTGCGTTCAGTTGGCTTATTTTTCATTTCGTTTGAAAAGTCGGGTTTAACGGATCCGTAACATGGCCTCAGTTGACAACGAAGTAGGATTGCCTTGAACTTGTGATTCCTGCATTGTGCGAAAATCCCTTGGCTCATCGTCCATGCTGAAAAATCGTCCTTTATGCGAAGGGAATCATCAGAGCCAGAAACCATTATTTACGAAAAATCAGCCTAAAGAACTAAATCATGAAGGATGGCAGGCTGAAATCCTTTCTTGGTGAATTTTTCGTGAATAATCGCTGCTGCAAGACGGTGAGCCGAAGTCACGTAAACATGCTAAGAAGACAGGACAATACTAATTCACAGAATACACTAGGTTTGAAGTCATTTTATCAACTTGGTATTGTTGTCAGGGCAACTTCAAAGAATGTCGTCATGTCTTTTCCCATCATAGAGCCGATGATTAAGCACATTTCAAGATGTTTTACCTGCATTGTCAGCTAGCGACGTTACAATTTTTCAAATCGACAAGTGAAATCCATCGCTTGACCAACGAACTGCTCTGCAGAAAACCTCATTCATGAACACTCAGCAAAAATACCAAGTCAAGTAAGTAGTTAGTTTAGCTATAGATGTAGTAGTCTCGAAACTTTGCTTGTAAGTGAAAAAAAGGTTAATTTAGCGTTTTCAGGCATTGTTCGTAAATGATGGTTTCTTGCTCTGACGATGTCCATCACATGACTCAGTACGGATTCATCGGGGTGGCAGAGGACCTCTTCACGACTCGCCAATTAACGTATCACTTCGATCAACCTTTTCAAGTGAAATGAAAAGTATGTCAGCATCAATCTATATATGAGATGTATTCACCATATTCCGTTTAAGGTGGTGCTGGACTGGTGGTTGAATTTTCCCACAATGATATGAAAATAAAGGGAAAGCAAGACTTTGTGAAATTCAATAGAAAGTTCAGCTCTAGTTATATTACTGTCATCCTTCATCGTCTTAAATGAAATAAGATGAATACATCACATATTACTGATTTTCTGGTAGTCTCGAAACCCTACTTATGAACGAAAAATGCCAAAAGGATGCTTTGAAAACCAGCTTCTCTTCAAATGTCGGAGTTTCGGCTAACTTCTATCTTTTCGTATCCATTGTCCTGCAAAGTCGCTGGTGATCTTTGATCCTCGTGCTGATTGTTCTTTCAGCCTCTCGGATATACTTTCGTTTGTAGTCCTTACAGTTTCTGCTGTAAACTCCTGAAGACTCCATTTTCTTACTTAGGCAACCTAGTGAGGAGCGCTGTCCTTTCCTTCAGAATTGTACGAATATTTCGTTTCATTAGTAGCGGCCGCAGCATCTTTGCCAGTTTGCAGAAGGGTAGACATCTAATTCCTTTATCCTCTGTCTCCCATGCTTTCCTTTCAGTCGCTATCTTGCCATCTGCTCATCATGATCCATGTTTCATTTTCGTGTTTCGTTTGTATGGCCTTTTTCAAAAAATATTCTTGTTCGTCTTTCCAATTAATCTTCCTCCCATAAATAAGTATTGGTTAGTTGTAGCCTCATTATGACCATACCTCTGAGTATTCCAATATTCCGTCGGCACTTATGGTGAAACTGGAACTTAAGTATTATGCCTGCATGTAATTGTTTCGAAACAGCCCTTTATTGAGTGGTTCCTCGAGGCTGTTGACCTCTAAATCCAGAAAAACTAAATATCTGTTCTCCGCCAAATCCATTGTAAGTTTGACTTTTCCATCAGTATCGTCATCACTTTGATAAGTTGTAACTCTGTGTTGAGGATGATACCTTTATCACTGACACTGTCGACTACGATGCTGGCGAAGCATATGAATATATACCAAGTCGGCGGTTCGATGCTGGGAATTATCGAGAATACTCTGACGATGAACACCGAACTAGGTACATTCTACAAAGTCTTCCACTCGCTCCGACCAAGTTGCAAAAACGAGTTCAAACCATCAAAATATAGACTTTAGCTGTGCTGCTCGTTATTTGCATTATGCACTTGAAGTTGCTTGTTTTTCACGGCGAAATCGATGGTTGCTTTAATGCTGACTGTTATCACGATGGTACTCGCACGAGAGTTAATCTCTTCCATATTGATTGTGGAGTTGTTGGTAGCGGGTTTGACTGTTGTACCAAGGAAACTGTTTTGCTAAATGCTGGGCCGTCATCTGCAGCTGCTGATACTTGCGAACGAGCTGATACTTTTAATCTCGATCAGCTTGAAAGTATGGCATTTTTCCACAAACTTTGAGTCTAAATCATCTGGACTTTTAGTTGGGGAATCGAACTGTGACTTATGTAGAATATTTTACCTACACTATAGTATTTTAGAGTGTTGTTTATTTTAGTGCGAACCCATTCTGCATACAGTTCTGTTTCCAAAGGGCTTGTGCATCAGGCGTTGCGATATCCTGTTCCATGAACTATACTTGAAATGTACCATCTTCGCTCTTGTAAAGTACTAGTTTAGAAGGAAGCCTTTTTTGAATATTACAACAAGGTTAAGGAAGATAGGGCTCCTAAGGCCGATCATTTATGCCGCAGACCTCGAGTCCTCGTAGGCTCCGGCGTCAGTTTTTTGTCTCTTCTGTTCATTCTCAGCAGGTCTTGATTTCCCCTCGTTAACTTTATCTTCTCTGGTATGCATTTTCATATCTGCCTTTGAATTCTCGATTAGGCAGTACACTCGCCTCTTGAGCACAATCGTTGTGCTTTTTGTGTTCCCCAGTTCTCCTTCACCCTCTACCCGGGCAACAATTCCCCACAAATACACATACACACATACACACACACACATAGGCACAATTGTTAAGTTGATGGCTCAATCTACCTGGTAGATGGGTTGATGGGACGAGGGGGGGTCAACAAGCGTCCTTGGTAATTTGGAAGTTCGAGTGTGAAATGACCTTGTGTTCAGAATACAAAACACAAAGGGTATGTGAAAGTCTAACTTCACCTATATGCTTCCTTAATTGCTGCTCTGCTGCCATACCTCGCTTCACAAAGAATGTACAATCGCGACTGCTCCTATTTTGGTACTTCTTTGTGCTTGTGTGTACCTCTCGGTGGCGTGGGATGCATAGGCTGGGCGGAGTAAGGGGCGTTATATTATGGATATGCGGAGATATGTGACTGTTTGGACGAATGTTTATACAGCTGCTGCACTCAGATTCTTCATGGGCTATGACTGTTCTGAAGTACTCTATCCCAGTAGAGTGCTCGAATAATGCAGCTCTAAAATATTAAGAAGCATTACTCAGCTATACCTCCAATTGAGTATGAATTGCATTATTCTTTTCATCTAATTTAGGGAAACAGTGATGCCCAGAATGAATGGCGTTAAGCTATACATTTTTGCACAAATTTATGTCTTAGGTACCCAACATTGTGTAGTTGCAATTAACTCAGACTGATTTTTGGTACAAATATAGACATTATTCTGGGCGATTGGCAAATCCGAAAGCAATACAATTGAGAATCACGAAAAAAGAACGTTTAGAAAACATTTTGTTGTATGTAATAAAAATTAATTAATTGTTGTTGTTAAATTAACCGTTTATTACACATAAACAAAAAAAGCAACTAATATATTAAAGTTACTTAAGTCTATTTGACACCTTTTACGTAAAACGCAATATTAGAAAAAATATGCATGGCACTATTCTTTCCTTTTCGCTCGAGCGATAGTCTTGTTGGCATAAATTAAGTTTAGAATTTGAGACTGATATTGATGCTTATTATGAATAAAATGAATGGCAAGGAACTGTATTTTTGCACAAATTGGGCAATACAACTTTTGTGTACAAATATATACATTATTCTGAATGATTGAAAAATTCTAACGCAATACAATAGAGCATTAAAACCAAATAACTCTTTGTATATAAACGGCTTGATTTAGTTTTTGTATCTTGGTCGTGGTGTTATGGTGACCTAGATGTATGCATCTTGTTCGAAGTCTGAGATAGTAGTTATGATAATTTTTAGCTTTTCACTTTATTCTTTGTACATTCCAAAGCCTAATGCATGAATTAGAGTCGGCATCTTGACCATTTGGCAAGTTATTGAGGATGCTGACTGTGGGGCCGGCGAGACACATAGGAATGTACTAACTCCACAGTACGAAGCTGGGAATTATTATAACTACTATAGCAGGAAATTTCAGACGTGGCGCCTTCATCTAGGGTGGTACCCTGGCAACACGAACAAGTTGCCAAAATGAGATT